CCCCCCCCCAGCATCTTTTCTAGAAGGCATGGAAGTCTTTCCCTCTGACTTGACAACTCCTGGCCTCCAGAAGGAGTTGAGCAACAGGAAGTGTACAAGTGTCCATTCCCCAAGGAGAGTCTCCCAGGAGCAACTTCTACCCAGTTGGAATTGGATTCTTTTTCTCTTGGAACTGCCATTTTTGCTCCAAGAGAAACAGCGTGAACATTTATATGCTTGTGGTTTCTACTAGGAGAATAGTGATGCTTCTCGTAGAAACATAATGCTTGTCTATGGCCTAAGTTTTTTGCAGAAATTATTCAGTTGTCATTTCTCTCATTCATCTTGAAATGCATGGAAATGAGATTTCATCTCACTTACAGTATTTCCTCATGTTTAGAAAAAAAATTCAGCTTTAGTGATTGCACTGACAGGCAAAATTTTGGCAAATGTTATGTTGCTCAAAAAAGTTGATAATTGTGGTTTGCTCTGAATGTTATGTTATGAAACACTCAAAATCTTGTCATGTGCAGGTATACAGGCCAAATAGTATAGATCTGTATAAATACTGTGGTGTGGACAGGGAAACACCTATGATAGGGTAAGTTCTTTTAAAAAATATCTGCATGTAAAGTAAGACTTTATATATTGTATATGAAACAGAGCAAAAAGAACATTTGATATCCAAGTTTACTTTTCTTGGAAACTAAAGGTAGATGGTTTTTAATCTGTTTAATTTGAACAAGTATTACTAATTCACATGATTAGAGAACTGAGAAGACAAGAACTTAAAATAATAATTTTTAAAGATATGTCCGTGTGAAAAATATTTAAAATTGTGCTAAAACAACACATTAAATGTGCAGGCTTTACAATTAAAATTATATTTACAGGTTAAAACAAATATCACCAGGTTAAAATGGTTTTTACCTGTCTTCTATATGACTATTTGTAGGATTCTGTATTTTGCACATACCTAAATTGCTGTATCGGAATACCACATTACTGAATAATACCAAGCTGTACTTGAAAGAAAAAGAAAAAAAAATGAAAAAAACACAACCATAAAATTAAGAATTGACATAATAATATCAGTGCACTTAAACTCAAAGATAGCATCCCTAATGTCTAGTTCTGTAACTAAAATGAAAAAAATTGATTGCAGTAGCATGTATTCAAAATTCTTCACATATACCATATATCCCATTTTATTTATAACTTGCTACTGAAGGTGATGAAGTTGTATACATTGTAGCAAGTTCTTAGTTATAATGATTAAGAGCAAGGTAATTGTTTAATCCTTTTCCACTGTCATACAGAAATTGATATGTGATTTTAGTTGTTTATTTTTTTTACAAAAGCATTCAGCTAATTCTCTTCCCCATTGAAAGCAGAGCCAGGTAGCACCTTAGAGACTAACTGGTTCAGAGAGACACAAGAGTTTGTAGGCTGCTTCATTAGGCCTGCTTCGTTAGATAGTATCAACAAAGCTAGCATCTAGCAAAGTCAGTTACTGCCTAAAAAAGTGTATGCCTCTGAACCATTTGGTCTCCAAGGTGCCACTCTGCTCTGCATTCCTCTTGATTTGAGACTATTGTGGCTAACTGCCTCTCTCTTTCCTCATTAAAGTCAATGCTAAAACTGCCATTGGCTTGAATGGAAGCAGAGTGAGGACAAATCTGTGGGATTTTGAAAAACAAACCCTGAAGCTTTTGCATGACCTCTGATGCATAAGATAAGTAGGGCTTTTAGCGTTTACCATTTTTACTTTATTAAATTTGCTGTTAATTAGAGATTGTATTTTGTTGAAATAACTTTTTTTTATTATTACATTTGATTTGTGTAATAGTTTGTGCCTTTTTTGTTACGTTTTTTCCATAGCCATTCTTTGCCCCATATGTTTACATGCCAAGGTATTACCCTGGCAGTTCTCATCTCATCTCACGTCCACCACTAAAAACAAGTTTGTCCAGGGATCAGAGCAATGGCCTAGTAAGTATTTTGAAGGATAATTTAACTACTAACCTAGATAAGTATAGCGAGTACTATTACATTGTTAACTATACTATAAACATTCGAACAATATTTCATAAATAGCGTTAAGAAATTAAGCTACAGCCAATATGAAATTTTAAAATGTATTTTGTTTTTTACTTTTAGCAAATACCTCATAGATGGGAAATTAATTCTACTATAAAACCAGCAAGATTAATATACTATCTGATGGCACACAAGATTGGCAGGATGGTATTTTAGTGAAGACAGTCATTTTCTGGTACTGTAAATAACGTGACTTAGTGGTGGTGATAAATATTGGCACCTGTTAATTATTGTAAATAAACATTTATATATATGTAAATGATTTATATATGAATTTTTATTTACTATATACAGATAAACATCAAAGGCTAGGAGGCAAAAAGTCACGTTGTTGTACTTTTAAAATCAGATAGCCAAAAAATAGGTGTTGCTTTTAATTAATAAATTATAAAAAAAAAAAATAGTATTTTAATCTGAACTAAAACAAAATACATTTTATGATTAGCATACAGTATACATCAGTAGTAATTATATGTGATGTCTAAATATATTGTATTGATACATTTTAAACAAGGAAATAGGCATGTTTTCCTAGAAGACTAAGCTAAAAAAGTTCCCTTTATAACATATTTCATATTTTGCTGATATAAACTGAAGTTCAAAAAAGAATGAAGAACCTAGGCAGACTAAGAAAATAAAAGGCTCATTTGTCAAACACTTTAATTCTAGAATATTGATGCCCTTGGGCAAAGCTAGTAAGGGATTTTAAATCTTTTTTTAATCACACCAAAAAAACAAATGTTTCTGTTTAATGAGATATTACTATTATACTCATTCTTGTTCATTGTTTATTTAATAATTTTGTTGAGACCTTAATAATTTTACCCAAAACATAATATTTTGTTGTTGTTAGGATGTTATCAAGGAGGATGCTGATGAGGGGCTTTCTTCACCCACAGACCCCTCTATGGTAAATGAGTAGTCATGTGGTGTGGAAATTTAGCATCTCATTGCTTCTTCAGCAGTAATGAGTCTGCATTAATCATAACTGCAGTTCACTAACACTGCATCAGTGGCTTGGTGGGCAAGTAGTTAGAATAGTTGAACACTAATGTAGATTGTGAATGAATTTGAGAGCTAATATGTTAATTATAGAGACCTACTGTTTTATTTTCCCCTAGTCTCCTGCTGCCTGTCCCAGTAGCTATGGAATATAGAGCCTGCAGCCGAGACTATAGTATTTTAGTTGGACAGAGTGTAGAACAGCAGTTGGCCATTTGTGACTTAGTTTTTAGAATCTGAGTAGGTGACTCCCACCCTTTTTCTGCTTTATTCAGATATCCCATGCTGCTCCTTATTTGTGTATGTTGTGGCATAAAGCTTCTGTAGCTGACATAGCATGAGGCAATTTTATATGAAAATGATAACAGTGTATAGATAGTCCTGTTCTAGAGACAGTATGCTAAGATGCCTCATGCACCTCTAGCATTTATTTTATTACATCAGACCTACATCTTTGTATTAACATTTATGTGGTTATTTTAACCTCTGACTCTGGAATTTTTAAGTCACTACCAATTCACAAAATGGAAGTTTAAAGTCGCTCCCAAAGCAAAGATGTTAACATTGTTTTGCCTGTTCTCTTAATACCTGTATCTTGTTGGCTTCACTGCCTAGATATGACTTCAAGTATGTTGTCTTTTATTTTAACAGGAAAAGGCTTGCCTAAAATACTATTACCATTGTTGCATAATAAAAAAATGACAAGAACACCAGAAATAGTTACAGCAGTAGAAACCAAACCTGGATTAAAATAACATAAATTAAGGATTTTATTAGAACTGTTTCTCATTCTTTAACTGGGGCTATTGTACCTACATACTGCAGCACATGATAGAATATCATTGTGTTCTGAAACTTGTGATCAACAGTGCACAGTTACAGGCATAGTAAAAAATATGTATTCTGATCCCACATACACACATTATATTTCTACTGAGAGAATCTCAGCTCTCCTGGTAAAAACTATTCAGACATTTATATGGTTTCTCGTGGAACAAAAATGGCAATTCTAGGAGAAAAACAACACATCTCTAACACAGTAGCAGTCACTCCCACAGCA